GAGGGTGGCAACAGATGCTTGTCCGCGTCTGTTTGAAGTCTGAGCCCCTAAGGAGGGTGGGAGAGGTCAGCCAACGTCTTGCCAGGCCACCCAAGGGCCCGCCGCCAATTGCTTGGTGACCTGAGACACCCAAGGCCTCCTGGTGTTGGATGGATCCCAACCTCGAGCTCTGGCCCCGGCGCTCCGGCAGCCGGACTCTGTCCAGGAAGGTGTCTCTGGCCAAAGCCAGGCTCATTCGAGGATAGCCCGGGCCTGGGCCGGAGCGCGGGGCTGCACACTGGCCCCGGGATCAGGCGGAGGGGACACCTCCCCGCGAGGCTGCTCCAAGACCGGCGCACGAAGTTTGGGAGCAGGAGGGAGGGGACAGGCTGGAAAGACACACAGAAAGATAGAGACAGCGAGACGGAGAGAGACACAGAGGAAGAGACAGCTACCCAGAGCCCAGGACCGACCAGAGGCCCAGAACCAGTGAGCCAGAAACGGAGACCCTGGAAGGAGCTTGGGGGTTGGGGGTGGGGCGCCCCAGACCCTGAGTCAACCAGTCAGGTGGGGAGAGGCCCCGCCTCTGCTCACCGGTCCGCTGGGAGGAGCTGAAGGGGTTGGGGGGAGGATGCGCCCTCCGCCCACGCCCGCGTGGCCTTCCCACGGGGGTGCGGGGCTTCTCTAGCTGTGCGGGACCCACAGCCCCTCCCACTGGCCCTGCCTCCCGCAGCCTCCGCCCTGCGACCACTACCTGCCGTGGGCCGCGGCCTGGGCGCCCTAGGGCTGCTCTGGCACCCCTGCTGCGGCCTCCCCACTGTCCTCTCCCGGCTCCCCGGTCCCTCCCCGTCTCCGCGTGGCCCGCTGCAGAGCTCTCCGGCCCAAGGGCCCCGGCAGCCGCCACCCAGCGCTTCCAGCTGCAGCGTCTTGTTCCCAAGGGCGTCCTCCACGCAGCAGACCCGGCCGGGCTTGAGCCAGGACCGAGGGCTGCCTGCGCCCCGCGTGCCCAGGCGCGCGGGCAGAGGCTGCGCGGGCTCCTGTGGCGGGCTTGTGGCCATGGTGGGAGCAGAGAAGGGACGGTGGTCGGTCCCGAAGGCTCCTGCTGCGGGGTCTGGGCGCTGCGTGTGGACTAGGCGGACCTGGGCCTCGCCCTCACCCCGCCCCCCCCCAGCCTCCGGGGCCGGGTGGAACTGGCGCTGTCCACGCAGGGAGTGCTGAGCGCGCCTGGCCGGGCCTCAGGGCCCGCGCTCTGTCCCAGCCCAGCGTGGCTGCCCGCCTGGGGCGCGAGTGTGTTCCCACCTCCCGCTCCACCTACTGGAAGGCACAGGAAAAACCATGGTCTATGAGAACCCCAGCCAGTTTCCGCCCTGTGGGGGATCCCAGGCCAGGCTGGGAGGCCCCGAGGGTGGTGAGGACGAGGTGCCCACCCTGGCAGCTCTCAAAGCCGAGTTCAAGGTGTTGGGGAGAGGGTGCTCTCAGCTCGTCCAGGGTCACAGGGAGAGGCTGCCACTCGGTGGAATCCTGTTAGCACAGCCAGCACTTGAAAGTATAAGTTCGGAGGGTGAGAGTCGCGGCAGGACACTGAAGCACTTGAGTCCCCTGCGGGGCATAAGCATGTGGGCAGAGCCAAGTCAGCGCTCTCCTAACCCCTCACCCCTCCCGGTTTCCACTCCCCAAAGTGACCAATAAAGTGTCCTTTACTCACCTGTGTGTCCTTTACTCACCTGTGCGCCCTTTACTCATCTGTGCGCCATGTTCCGCAATGCAAATCTGCTTCCAATTGTTCTCATTCATTCGAAGAAATTCTTCCACTTCTCTAAATTATTTGAATTTTCTCTCCCAATAAACAGTTCTCACTTGATAAACGGCTACAGGAGGAGGCCTCCACGGTGGGTGGCTTACCTCGGCAGGTGCTGTCCAGTGCCTCTGAAGTCAGAGCCTGTCCTCCAGGTGATTTTCCATGGTTTAGGGTGAGGCTGCAGGTGAGATGCCTGCTGCCCCTCCCCAGTGCAGGCCCAGGTTCCCTTCTTGGTGTGGAAGGAGGTATTGTCGTTCCAAATGGACACGGAACACAGAAGTGGCTAACATAGCCTAACTTTAATACCTTGTGAGCAGGAGAACACTGATATTCTAAGATTTATAACAATTTTTATTAAAACTGTACAATAAATTACAAATGAGTAAAAATTCTCTGCTATACATCGTAGGAATCACAATACAAAAATATGTGCAAAATTTTGTGGTTAATCACCATACAAAGCTACTTCAGGCCCGTGAATGCTGTTTAGCACTGGCCAGATCGCATGTTTCGAATGTGCTATTGAGGAGTTTTTCAGGGAACGCAAACACTGGCTGGCATATTGCCATGAGGAAACAAGTCCTAATTCGTTTTTGCATAAATGTACAATAAAGCTTTCAAAAAATATACAGTAAACAAATATATGATTTGATACATATATTTACAACTTGATTTTTCCTGAGCCTAAACATAAGTCCATTACTGTGTTAAAACACACAGCCCACCTTAAGGTTTTGATGATGGGGTGATGGCAAATGCAGGTTAATGTGACAGTGCCTCAAACCCATTCCTGCACACCCTCCTTCCTGACCTCCAGAGTTGGTGTTCACAAGCCAGGTAAGGCACGCGGGGTGTCCTGAAGGCTCAGGGTCCGCCGGGCAGAGTACTTTAAGGAAGGGCCACAATCCTTCAGCAGCTGGCACCCCAGACTGTGGAAATGAGGTGTACACATATGCTTCAACAGGAAGCTGTGACTCACATGGGGCTCTGGTCTAGACAAAGGAAACAGTGCTGTTCTGGGGTGTGCCCACAGTGTGACGTGGGAGAGCTGCTACGCTGCGCACATGTTGACGTCTTGGTTACACAGCCAGCATTTCTGGCAACACCTCAGGATCCCTCCTCTTGGTCCTCTATGGAGTGATGCATTTCTATGCAGACTTCCCATTTGAAGAGCTCACCAGTCTTGAATAAAAGGCATACTCAAGGACTTAGAAAATGCACCATATTTAAAACACTTGAATTCTCCCAATGCTCACTGGACCAACAGGAATCAGTGACAAACGCTCCTATTTTGCCTTTCTGGCAAAAGCCCAGTCCTGAAATGCTGGATTCTGTAATCAGATGGATATAGGTGCCTCTGACACACAATGAAAAGC